TCCTCAGCCATCCCTCAGATGCTGGGGCAGCCTCAAAGCTGGTGCTTGCCCCCCTCACCCTTGCCCCAGTGCTGAGGGCTGCTCACGGCTCAGGGGGACCTGCCACCACTCAGCAAGGATGGGCAGAGCACCCCAGACACAGCACACCCTACCTAGCAAAGGGGGTCCCAGAAGCACAGGGCAGCACTCCACGATGGTCACCAGGCCGACAGCACTGGAGAACCGCTGTGCTCCCACCAGGTCCATCAGGGTCTCGAATAGGACTGAGCTCAGCCAGCCAAAGGCAAAGCCAAAGAAGCCAGCATAAATGCAGAAGCCAGCATAGGTGGTGGACATGGGGGCCAAGAGGTGGCACACCCCATTGTAAATCACAGAGATGGCAAAAAAATACTGGACTCTGGGTCTGATCCACTTTGTGTTTGCCACCAGTCCCATGGAAGGTCTGGCCACCATGTCTACGAAGGCCAGGATGGAGAGTAGGAAGGCTGCAGACTCATTAGCAATCTTCTTGCTCTTAGCATAATTGCTGAGGAAGACCAAGGGAGTGAACAGCCCAAAGAACATGATCACATTGCCCGACAGATAGAGCAGGAAGCCCCTGTGTGTGAACAGGGACAGGTCCAAGAACTTGTTGATTGTCTGGAAGAATGTGCTCTTCTGTTTCTTGGTCTTCCCACCAATGAGGTCTGTGCTGGTGTCACCATCATCCTTTTTCACCGCTTTCCCAGCTTCCTGCAGCACCTCCTTAGTGGCCTCTTTCTTCAGCTGATCTGGCTTGGGGCCTATGGGCCGCATCAGGGATCCGGCAACACAGCAGTTCAGCAAGAGACCACCGAGGATGAGGAAGCTGCCGCGCCAACCAAATATGCCAAAGAAGAGCTGGTTCACAGGTGCCAGAGTGGAGAGGAACACGGGGCTGCCCGCCATCGCCAGTCCGTTAGCCAGGGGACGCTTCTTGAAGAAGTACTTGCCGATCATGGTTAAGGCTGGGTTCAAGTTAAACGCGAGTCCAAGGCCTGAAGGAAAGGAGAGACAAGAGGCTCAGAGCTTGACTGCCCCCACAAGCCATCAGCAACCAGCAGAAGGGCTGGTAGGATGAGCGGGGTTTCATTTCTGAGGGTTTCACAGCTGTTTCAGCTGTATTAACTTCCCAATTGCACGAGCAGACTGCTGCATTCTGCCCCCGCTGCCGATTTGGGAGAAGGCGTCAGGGCAGCAGCGTAGCCACACGCAGGAATCTGGGAGCTGGAAGAGGGGAAACTGCCCCGGCTCATGACAAACCTTATGTCAACTGGCAGGGCACAACTCTAACTTGGGGCAGGAATAACGGATGCTCTCTGTTCTCGGCACCAAACACTAGTCCTGCGTACAGTCTCTTGTACAGCATCCCCACGTTGTATCACTGCGGCCATCTCTTATTAGAATGTGTAACAGGAGTCAGGGTTTATGCAAATTCATCACAGAGTTTCTCTAATAATTACTGGGTTTAAGTTGCTCCTCTTGCTGCCTCGGGAGAGGACTTACCTCCGTTGCAGCCCTGCTAGGGCAGCCGTCACTTACCCCCCACAACCCCAACGCAGAAGTAGAGCTCCTCCACCGTGTTGCAAAATGAGGCTGCAATCAACCCGCACCCGGAGAGGCAGCCACCAGCGATCATGATGGGCCGGCTGCCGTATTTGTTCACCAGGATGCTGCTGATGGGACCTAGAAAGTGGAAGGAGATACGCCCAGGGATGAGTTATCTTTGCACAAGAAACAAGACGGGTGCACGCAAGCACCCTGGAGGTTTATTGCCACAGGCTTCCAGCTTTCGCACAGTGACACCTCACCCAACGAGGGAATTGGGGTCAAGAAGAAAGGACAGGAGGTTGAGACACAGCTGGAGATAAGAGTGACATTTGGTTAGAGCATGTGCAGAACCCCAGCAGGAGAAGTGAGCCTCTGGCCAGCGCCAGCATGCTGCAGTTTCTGCCGACCGCCTTCTGAGCAAGCTGCCTTCTGTGGGCTAAGCCAGGAGACAGGTTTGGGACACGGCGAAGACACCTGCCCCGCACAGTGCTCGGCTCTGGGGGCTCTGCCCTGCCCATGGCCATCTGCCTGCCCACCGGGGGCTGGGGTCTCGGCAGCAGAGCAAGTGCCCAGCACCTACCCATCCCCAGCAAAAGGTTTCTGACAGAGACCAAAGCTGTGCAGAAACAGCTTTCATGGGCGCAGGCAAAGCTCCCTGAGGCTCACCAGAGGAGCAGCACTGTGCCATCCCCGGGAGAAGGGGTGCTTCTGTTTTCACTGCTACCTCTTATGGTAGGAAGAGCCCAATTACTCTGCACACCAGCCTTAACAGCTTCATTATCAGGAGCTTTAATCCAAAGCAAACAGTGATTAGATACGGCAAAGCATGCTCTACAGATACTAAAATGTATTTAAATACACTGAATGAATGTCCATTGAATATTAACAGACCTAGTTTTGCCATTAACAGATAGCAAGGCTGTCAACATGTTATTCATGGGTCCTCAGATGCTACTTGACCTTTTTTCCCAGTTTAAACAAAGCCTGGAGAAGGTTACAGAAGCCCTGCTGCTGCAGAAGCTGCCCCCAACCCCATGGCATCCCACTCCCCACAGCCAGCATGGTGCCTACATGCCAGCCAGAGCAGCCTGTGCCAGTGGCTCCAACCTGATGCCATCAGCAGTTGGGAAGGGGCCATGGCCCCAGTCCTGTGAGAGGCAGCAGCACCCAGGGCTGCCACATCACCCCAAGCCCCACACGCATCCCCACAGAGCGCACAGCACTTTGCAAAACCTGTACCTTGAACTCAGCAAACATGATGCCCCTGGACAGAGTCTAAAGGCAGCAGCAGCCTTTCCTCTGGGAAATCCAGCCTGGAGCAGCAGGCTCCAAGGGCAGCTAGCAGGAAGCTGCTCAGCCAGGCAACACCATGTATCCTGGTGGCAATTCCCCCATCTTTTTTTTTTAATTGGAAGAAAAAGACGACTTCACACCCACTCCTATTTTATAGGTTCTATTTTGGTTATTCATGCTATGAGAAATGTGTAAGTAATGGAACCAGAGTCCTCCCTAATCCAACATGGAGCTGAGACAGGAGCGTTTCCACATCCACACTCCCTGATGGTGACAGCACAGGGTGGCTGCGTGGGGCTGTAGGACATGGGGCTCCACCACCGCCAGCCCCCCCCCCCCCGCCAGCCGTGCCTGGGACAGGAGCTCCCCCAGCTCTGCCAGATACCATCAGCCCAGGACATCTTACCAAGCATGAGTTACTTTTTTTGTGCCCAAACAAATGCACAGTTCCCACAGAAAGATGTTCTGAGGGACAAGGAGAAGAGGATGCACACTGTGACCGCTCCAGCGTAATTCAGACCCTGCAAAGGGCCTGGGCTGAGGCTGCTGGAACAAGTGAGGGGGGCAGCGGCATGTTCCTGGGGGATGCACCTGGGCACGTCTGGGGTACCTTCAGCATCTCTGCCACCAGCTTACGGGCAAGCGGTTCATGACCGGTGAGCTGCTAGGATT